TGTATTTATGCATTTAATAATTTAATGACACATTTAATTAATTAATTATAGATTTCATTATTTAATAAATTATTTATTTCATGATTTAATTAATTATTTAATATGTCACCCGAGACGCTCCAAAAGCTACAGCTTGCGTATCACTGGGGGTCCTGGGATCCCAGTTTGAGAACCACTGGTCTAGACCACAGTGCATCGCAAATTACTATTTTTGAGTACACTAAAAACTGTTAAAATGTCAAAAGGCTGTTGTTATGTTATTTATCCCATTCCCATTGTTTCCTGAGATATAATGATCATATTTACAAAATAGGTTAAGGGTCTATATGAGTAATAGTTTTAAAAAGCTAAAWTATGGTTTTGTCAAATCTCTGCACCAACAAACAAACAAAAAAAAGTCTTTAATGTGTAAACACTCTTGCATATCAGAAACTTCAGATCAGCTGCTAGACCATGTGCTGGGCAGGCTTAAACCACTTGTACATGTGTTTGCCAATCAGCATACTTCACCAACCCACCCTCACACTGGCCGAGGAAGAGCACCCGTTTTCAGTGTGTATGATTTATTTATTTATTTATTTATTTATTTATTTATTTATTTACTTATTTACAAATGAACATCCTGCCATTATACTACTCAAAGAGACATGTCCTGGGGGTCCAATGAAGCTAAAATTTAACTGTTTGACCATTGCAGGTAAAATAATGAGGCTTGTTATCTTGGGAACACRATCCTCATTGTGAAGTACGAAGGCGGCAGCATCATGATGTGGGGTGTTTTGCTGAGAAGGGACTGGAGAACTTCATAAAACAGATGACACCATGAAGAAAAAACGTGGAAATATTGAAGCAACATCTCAACACATCAATCAGGAAGTTAAAGCTTGGACACAGGGGCGGCTGTGGTAGAGTGGTTAGGGGAGTCCACCTGGAACCGGAAGGTTGCCGGTTTGATTCCCGTCCAGTCGACTCAGTCGTTGTGTCCTTGGACAAGACACCTTACCCGACATGCCTGCTGATGGTGGTCAGAGGGTCCGGTGGCGCCCGTGTATAGCAGCCTCGCCTCTGTCAGTGCGCCCCAGGGCAGCTGTGGCTACAATTGTAGTTTGCCATCATCAGTGTGAATGTGTGTGTGAATGGGTGAATGTCTGTAGTGTGAAGCGCTTTGAGTGTCCTGGATGGATAGAAAGGTGCTATATAAGTACAGTACATTTACCATTTACCACAGATGGGTTTTCAACTGAACAGTGGCCTCAACTGACCTGAAACAAGAGTGCTTTATTCCACTCCTAAATATCTAAGTAAGACACCACCATCCCACATAAACATTTTGCTGATGACAAAGAAATAATTTCAGTACATTTCATTTCCTTCCTTTCTCTTAGAACAAAGTGTTACAATAATGAAGATTTTGAAAGATTTGCAAGTATAAAATAGGGGCTATCAGACATTGGACACAGAATTGTGTTTTCGTTGTTAGCTCCTTTTTCTAATGATCCTTGTAAATTAAGTTATATCTTCAATAACCTGCTTGTATTTGTTTGGAGGACCAAAACTGTCTTAATTAGAAATAAAAGCAAAAATCTCTAAATGGACCAATAAACAAACAAACAAACAAATAAATAAATAAATAAATACACTTAAAGTGCACCAATTAAATTAAAAAAGGAGAACTTTACCTCATGTTTTATGATTTAATTGACCTTCATATTTATTTTTCCAGCTTAGTTCCAATAAATTATATATTTTAGAACACTATTGCTGTTATTTTGCTGTTTTTTTTTCCTTTTTCTTGTACATGCATCTGTGCCTCCTAAATGTTCATATTGAAGTATTTTTATATAACTTTTTCCCCACAAGTCTTTTTAGTTCCATATGTTGTTTTTGCATTTCTCTCTCCTGTTTTCACTTTTCATTATGCATTTCTGCCTCATTACGTAAATACGGTGGGCGGAGCTTCTTGGCTCAGCTCCTCTGCTATTGGTCAAGAGACAGGAAGCAGCAGGATCCATGTACAGATCAAAGATGCATTCTGCTGCTACCGTTTAGAGTAACATTTAAAATTTAGTTTAAAACAAAGGCACAGGTAAGTGTTTTCCTCTTTGCCTAAACTTTAAGCTAAAGTGACAGCACAGGCATGCACAGATGCTTGTTAAAAGAGATACAGGAGTTTATATTTTTTATTAAAAATATAATTACTTTAATAATTCAAATAATTACATAATAAATATAAGATTTGGTAGCACAGTGGCACAGGTAGAGCAACATGTAAGAAGGTTGCTAGATCAACTTTCCGGGTTGTGTTTACATGTTCTCCCCATGCATGAGTGGGTTTTCTTCAGGTACTCTAGATTCCTCTCACAGACCAAAATCATATTTATTAAAACTCATGTCATGATAAAGCAGATAAAAGAATTGCTTGGTATAATGCTACAGATGTAGTTTATAACCGTGCTTGTTTAGTCTTTATTTCCAGTTTTGGGTATTTATAATTACAACTTTTCTTCATAAAAGTTTACACCAGCAAGCACATCAAACTGTTTGAAAATACATAGAAGAGGTGATGCTTTAAAACTGAGAAAACTTGTTCCTTTTGTTTTTAAAATGTATATTTTGACATTTTTAAAGAAAAGAACAAATAGCCCAACGGGCATCGGGCATTATAGAGTAGCCTATTCACACCAAGTGTTTACTTATGTGATAAAATTACATAAGTAAAATTACCCAAGTATTCACCCCCCCCCCCCACGCCAGTGTGTCCTCCCCCAACATTACAAATACTTTTGTTACCAATGAAATATGTAACAACAATGTAAGCTCAATTTACAGTATGTTAAGATAGAACACAACTGGACTGTTGTGGAATTCCAGGTGTTCTTTTCTCTTGGTCTCTGGACATCACATAATCAGTAATATCATCTAAAATAACTAAATCTGTTGGCAAATATTTAACTCTTATATTGCCATAGCTTTCAAACTGTCATTTTACAACAGCATCATAAAATTTATCCTATGGGTTTTAGTTTTAGTTTTGGTGTGCCACCCCCGGTTTTCAGTGATAATTGCCCCCCTAACAAATTAGTGATTGACATTAAACTCACTGGTATAAACACATGGTTATATACTGTATTAAACAGTATTAAATATTTGAAAAACCTTGTTATTTTAGAACCGAAATTGTTGCTGCGTGTAGAAATACAACTCCCACAATTCCTAGCGCTCGACTAATACGAAGCGCATGCGTAGTTGATCTCGGCTATTATTTTGTACTCCTCGAGCTTCAAATGAACAACAGGCTAAGCGCTCCTTGAAATGAATTAAATATTAATTCACGGAAAGACATTTTTTCCCCGTTTCGCCTCTCACCGCCGACAGTCATGGAGCGAGGCGGTCAGTAGCTCGTTGTCTCGCCGGGCTGCTCGGTCCTCGGTAGACTTGAAGGCCGAGAACGGCGCGCGGGGTGACAGCCCCGTTAAAGCCAACAGATTGGGTGTTTATCTGGTCGGTTAGCCACCTAGCTCGCTTCCTAGACAGCTGCGAGGGGAAGGAGAAACAACTGAAAGGATAATTTTGTCAAGGCAGAGCCGAGACTGTCGCTGTGTCCAAACTGCAGGGATGGCACACCTTCACGGCATGCAGAACCAGGTACAGAACCCCCCTGCCACATCTTATTCCTGCAAACTGGACCCCCACCATGGATGTCAGGGTTTTCAGGAACAGGGTGGCTTGGTGGGAGTCCAAGCCAACAATGCAAGTGATTAAACCTGTTATAAACACTGATAAATTGCATAATAAGACGAGAAATATAAGAAAATCTGTTTAGTGTGCAATGACATTTTTATAATTGTGTTAGAATTAGATTTTGACAACCAGCAGATGAGTATTGAACCTCCAAGTTTCCGTTTTGCTTTCACTCTAATTATTTTATGGACTGTGACTAGATCATTACCAAAGATAAAAAATTCATTCCCCAGTCACATTATTTTATTATTGAACTGTGTATAAAAGCCATAAACCATCAGTTGGACAGTTGTACAGGTGGTTAATTTTTTTTAACTCAATTAATGGGATTGAATTAAACATGAGTACCTGCACTAATCACATACACTCACCGGCCACTTTATTAGGTACACCACGCTAGTAACGGGTTGGACCCCCTTTTGCCTTCAGAACTGCCTCAATTCTTCATGGCATAGATTCAACAAGGTGCTG